TGGACGGTGACGGTGATGGTGGACGGTGGTAGTGGTGGACGGTGGCGGTGAACGGTTGTGGTGGTGAAGAGAAGTAGAAAAAAAAGGAGAAGATGTTAGAAGATGTTAGAAGACATTGGTTAATGTCTTCTCTAAGAAGATGCCAGGAAGACCTTTTTGAGTGAAATGTCTTCCAAAAAACAAACAATCTGCAGAGCCCATCATCTGCGCGCGTTTGCGCGGCGCAGACAAAAACGCCAGAAGGTCTTCTGGCGGAAAAACAAACACCCCCTAAGACAATTTTCAAAAGTATATAAGCTAGAGAAGGTAGTAAAATTGATTTGACATAGAACAATATTCACTAGTCAATATTTGAGCAAGTTAATCAGCGATATCATTTTCCATAAATTTCTTGGAAGTTGGAAGTCATTTATTCTTCCAGAATCACAGCTGGTAGCATACATTAAAGGAAAAAAAAACATGACATTACAGCAACAACCCAGGTATAATCCAGCTCTATTGAGGGTCTAGGGGGCAAAGATGTGCACAACCTTACCCCTGTTAAAAAAAGGCTGTTTCTGCTAGACCCTTGATTCTTGCTGCATTTAATGCCCAAAATTTTGTAGAAGGTAAGAAGCAATGGACATTTAATGTATGATTTTAATTTAGTCCATTATTTATCTGAAGCTAAAACATGGCCAACAATGATTCTTTTAGCTCCACTGGCAATCGAACAAACAAAACATATCCCATCTTACCTGAGCAGTGAGTGACTTGATAACTTCTTTTGCCGCTTTGCATTTGGTAGTCTCCTCCTCTGCTATTGCAATTGCCTCCTTCAGCTGTTTGGTAGTCATTTCTAATTCTATCTCTTGAAGTCGAGCCTTGCGTGTAAGATTGTCGACCTGAGACAAAGACCAAATAACATGCTAAGAATGGAAACACGATGAAAATAGTAGAATGCCATTCCAATTACACAAAAGAAACCAAGAAGTGAAGTGAAAATAAGGGTAGTGATGAAAGACTTAGGAGCCGTTTGGTTCAATTCCAGAATAGGTTTGGAATTAGGAATGGAAATGGTCTCATTCCATAAACTCTAGGGCTGTCAATGGATAGCCGAAAATCCAATTACCGTCCGCATCCGTATCCGTATAAAGAGGAAATACCTGCATCCGTTTTAAACGGATATTATCCGTATCCGATTACTAAACGGATACGGATTTGGTAATTGTATATCCGATCCGTTTAAAATCCGATCCGAATATGCATCCGTTTAAATAACCGTTTATCCGAATATTTGATCCATTATATATAATTTTACCTAATTTTTTATGCTTATATTTTGTTTCTCTATTGATATTTCAAAGTATAAGACATTTTTATATACAAAATAAATATGTAGACACATAAAAATATGTGCAGACATATAAAAATATGTGTATATGTGTGCTGTGTTTATCTTTTTATCATATAAAGTTATCGTAGAATATCATAAATCATGAAAACAAAGAACATAATTATCTCATAACAAATTATAGTTAATTTAATAATAGTTTGAGTTTAATCTAATTTAAAATTAAAGTATTGTTTAATTTGATTTTAAAATTGGAAACAGATACGGATATATCCGATATCCGACCGATATCCGACGGATGCCGATACGGTTTTGATTTTCAGTATCCGTCAAGATCCGTATCCGAATTCGATATCCGAAAAAAATAAACGGATTTGGTAATGGCACATCCGATCCGATTAAGCGGAGGGGAATGAAGCGGAGGTTTGGAAATGAGCTGATACCGAAACTAAACCCGACAAGCCCTTTTCCACGAGGGTTGGAGAACCAGTTTAAACAAAAAAAATGAACCACAATATATGCATGGGTTTTGGATTCCCAAACCCATACTTGACAACAATATCGAATCGAAAAAACAGGGCATTATAAAGTTTTACGAATGCTCCACCCATAGTAAAATAACTAGGTATCTCTCAAGAATAATACTAAGAAACAATCTCTTCAAAATAATATGCAGATCTTGAGTTAAACTATCACTCCAAACATTTTGTTTTGCTCCATAAAATTGAAGTCATTAAACATTTCACATAAATTTGGGTTTTACTCAATAGTACTAGAAGAAAAAGACAAAAGTACAAGTGTCTTAATGCTCGACTGTAATCCTTCATGAGTTGGGAATTGGAAGGTCCAATGGGAGACATGCCACCGCCCATCATAAAAGAAAAATCTAGAAGATCGGATGGTAATAGAAAGAGAATGGGAGACAAGGTGATCATATAGATTGCTTGATAGTTGACAGTATAGATTACGAGTTACAAGAGCATATGATATATAGCTTACGAGAGATACACGGGAGTCTACGACTCTACGTTCACAAGTCGTTCTTTACCACATTAAAAAAATTGCAATTTTGACTCAACTCTAAGTTTCCAAACCTTTTAGGGACAGAATTGAATATGATGCAGGCATGATTCCACTACTAAGGGCTTGTTTGGCAACAACATTAGCATTTAGCATCAACTTTTTGAAAAGGTTATCCAACGACCACGTTTAGCTTTAGCATTTTTAAAGTTAATATGCTCAATTAAAATATTATCCAAAATGCTAAAGTTACTCGAAAAAGTTGTTCCCAAACAAAACCTAAATGATCTGAAGAGCACCAAAGTAATATAAACCTCAAAATCATGATTAGGCTACTTCAGAGTTATACAGAGTATATAGCAATTAATCACATCATATGCGCTTCTCCCCTGATTTAAGGCTCCCTACTTTGTTACTGCACTCAATCTCATTGAACCTCCCCACTTAAACATGTAATTCTTTAAGATCCCAACTTCCATAGTTCAAATGAACTTCATTGAACAATTGTTAGAAGAAATTGATCAAAAGAAAAAATGATGCCAAAAAAATCAAAGTAGACGAGAGTTTGAAGCCAATTTACGCATATTCACAACCACTGAAAAAGGATTCCTAAAATGTGAAGGATCAGTAATTATTTTTGGAACCATACACAAGGAAGGTAATGAAAAGAAGATGACAGTCTTCCTCTTTTTATAAATCAAGAGTTCCATGTGAGATAAGAGAAAGAAGTGAGGAATGCATTGACAGGTACGATAGTCAAATACTATATTCTGAATAAGCAATTAGAAAATGTTTGATTCAGACATGTGGTTGGGTATTTTTCATTTATTTATCAAAGATGTGGTTCGGTATTAATTACGAAGTACTTTCTTTACTTAAATTATCAGTAAGTGCAATAACTTTAAGAAAAATAATGTTGTTCAGGAATCCGGAAGACTGGAAGTGTGGAACAAAAGACAATGTTATAAAAATATGAGTGATCGCCTTCATGTTTCATCTAACCTCATCTCCACAAATTCACCTGTTCTGTTCAGCTCCAATTTTTTCTCATCCTCATAATCCTTGACGTGCTACTTCTCTTCATCTCTACGACTCAACCTCTCTTTAAGACATTCATACTAGTCATGATTTGACTTTTTGTATGTGGGTTTCTCAAATAGTTATTGTATTTAAGTTGATTATTTATTGTTGTATGCCATGCTTATTCAGTCTTGTCGTGACCCAATCTATTCTGCACCATTGTGTTCACCACGCCTACTGCACTTCCGCCACTTCCAAAGAGAAGAACCGGTGCTGCCGAGTCAAAATTTCTAGAGAGTCCTATAAATTGGTTTTCTATGAAGTTTCTAGTAATTGGGTTCTATGCACTTCAATACGGGGAGCATGACCCACATCAATATGTTTTCCATCATTTCTGATGGAGCGAAATATTCACTAGTTTTTTTGTTTTGGGGTATGATGAAATCATAGTTTGTAAGGCGGCAAGGCAAGGTGAGGCGCCAATGTACCTTCATATCGCCTAGGCAACTAGGCGCATGCCTAGGCGACGACTAGGCGACATACATACATACATACACACAGACAGACACAGACACAGACACACACACACACACACACACACACACACACACACACACACACACACACACAC